TCAAATATTCGGCTCGAAACATCGTACGAGTGCAGTACATAATTTTTGATGTAGTCGAGCGTAAAGAGATGCGGGGACGACCTTGAGCTGCCAAGATATATGTAAGGACGTATAATTAAAATTATTTTCGGATCGATATAAAAATACATCAAGAATACTCTATTTATATGTAACTAGCTGTCGCCCGTGACTCCGTTCGCGCGCAATTAAAAAAACTTAGTAGCCTGTGTATTCATCCAAATTATGTTCTGCTATATTGCTGTATTTAATTACAAACCGTTGGATTGTTCGGAAGATACCTTTAACAAAGATCTATCCATCTATACTTTCGCATTTATAATCATCATCATCACAGCTCTCTATACATCCCTACCGAGGGGCACGGAGCCTACCCAAGGTTAAGGGTGATTAGGCCATTGTCAACCACACTGGCCAAGTGCGGGTTAGTCGACTTCACACATATCTTTGAATTTCTTCTCAGATATGTGCTGGTTGCATCACGATGTTTTCCTTCACAGTAAGAACGTCGAATAAATTTATAATATTAATAAGATATTTAAGGCTTTTTAACACTTTTACGTTCAAAATCATTGTAGCTAAAACCTTTGATGTTCGCCATTTAAATAACATGATATTGTGACGTATCACAACAAACAATTAATGAACTATGCAATGATATAATTCGTCATGTGATGGATGCCGTATTAAATAAGACCACGTACACACTGTTGAATTAAACAAACACAAATAAACTTTATTTGTACTTGGACGAAAATTATATTTATAGACCAATAATATATTTACGTTTCATAAATCTCTTGATATAAATATATAGTTTCTGTACGCTTAATTTACATAAAGGCTGTTTTACATTTCTTAATATAAATACAATATAATTAACATGAGAAATATTTCAATTTTACGATTATTATAGTGTACATTAAAATCAATAATTCAAGAGCTCGTATCTCTTTAACGTTTAACTCTGTAACAAACAACGAAATGCCTTTTGATTAGAGGATAAAAAATAAAGGGGAAATTAAAAAAAAATCTTTTGGCTTGTGTATACGCTACCTTATGTCATAAAATCGTCACAGAGTAAATAAGAGCAGAGAGTTTTTAATCTCGACAAACAATCCGCGATGTTTCACGGTTATTCAATATGTATAAGTTTTACATATTTCTCAAGATGTATTTTATCTTCACGTGTTAAATAGGTATTATAATTGTACAATGTGATTCTAATAAACATCTGTAGACAAGACACAGAGCAAGTTTTCACTTGACAGATAGACGCGGACTGTGTAATATTTTCCTCGGGTATGTACTTTTATTTGATCGTAATTTGCGACCACATAAATATCGTCATAGATTTTAAAGGATCGTTTGTTTTTAAAATAACCAATGATTTTATTTATTACTAAAGAGTTTGTTATACATTTTTTTGATATCATTTTGTACTATTTGAATGCACTCAGGATTTTCTTACATTCCAAAAAGAGTGTGATTTAAAATCTTTTAGATTTCCAATTTTCCATATGTTTATTTATAAGAATTACCATATTAATGTAACCAGTTGTTCAACCCGTAACGTTAAGACATAAAAAACACAATTTTATTAGTTTACCTGCAGAAAATTACAACATGGAAATATTTCGGTCCCCCGAAATGTAAAATTTTCCATGAAAATTTTTCATTTCTTTCACACCACAGAATATTCGTATATGATTATCCCTTTCTTGCAAATGCATACAATAGCAAGGGTTTTTACGCGCCCAACCAACTTAAAATAGCACTAATTAACCTTTTGCATGTAAACTCAAAGTCTTAAATGCAACGTCAAAACGCGCCTCGTAAAGTACGGATGATTGAATTTTATTCGAGTTCAATGACCTTCTTAATAAAACCTCTTTGGATCACTTAAAGAACTGAAAATACTGTATTTAACAGACCTTTTATTAGTTCAATAGATGGTAAAGGATTGAGTCACGCACCACAATCGCCAATACATCGTTAATTTCAATAAAAGTTTATCCTCGAGGTATTCTTTAAGTGATATAAATATAATAAAAAAAAACTGACATAGACGTAAACGTAAAACGTCAAAATATCAGCGACATTTCCAATTAAGAGTTAACATTATTAATTCCTCGTATAATTGCCTACTAATAATTTTTGTTCCTTACTTATTAAATCAAAACGCTTTACCTAATTAAATTTTATTTAAATTCTAAAATTATCTTGAACTAAAATAAATATTTTAATTATTTACTTTTTTATAATATAAAATAGCTGTTATCCACAAATCCGTGTCTCAGAATTAAAAAAAAGTAGCTTATGATTCAGCCTTCAGATCTGTTCAGTCATTTTGGAGTTACGTGATAACAGACATCCATCCATCCAAATGTTTCATCTATATTATTAGTGAGATTATCAAGACAAGTGGTAACGTGTCGGTTTCCACTGCGGAAACATTAAACATGAGACTATCTCATTCTTTTTGGATAACTTTGATACAAGTATTCGTTATTGTAAGACGTGAAGCGAAAACTTTGTATCCCTTTTTAAAGAAATTATGCGTAAGGATAAATATGTTTGATAAATTTAAAATTAATGTCGTAAAGAATGAATGAATTGTTATTTTAATTTCGACCAATGAGCTTATACCGCTCACAATATATTTCGTCTGTGAAAAATTAGTCAAGCTTTGTCGTTTAATCGCTTATTATATTGGTATGCAGATTGTAAAGGTTTCAAGTTGCCTACGTATCTAGGATACGGTACAAGTGAGCGGCATTTCAAGGCAACATCTGTCAACTTCAACGGGGGTTGTACTTGATGTATAATCGTGAGTTTGCATTGGTAAAGCACATATATGAAAAACATTTGTTTCCTCTCATTTTCCAAGTGCGTCTAGTAGCCATGGTAACTCAACTCAAATCGATGACCTGCAGATCAGCTCACGATTCGATGAGTGAAGCAGATCAGTGGACCGGTTCAATGCTCAATTTGTACCTGCATATTTGCGTTTCGAGGTGCGAACTTCAAGACACCGGGCAATATGATATGTAACGCGCGCGTTCTATTTAACGAGCTGCGAGTCGCGAGCTCATGATTGCAACTCGTCGCTTGCCAATTTTGTTATTGAGCCGCAGCTCAACAGTTCAAAACTTTGTGAGTTGGACTTGTTAGCCTGTTTACATACGTTTAGCGTTTAGTGTAGAAGTATTATATATTATCTTTATTTCTTTTCAGCAGTTCGCTATATTCTATCTGTATATATCCGATGATTTAAGATTGGACTTATCTTAGGAGTTCTTGGTCGGTTGGTTAATCTTGTGATAAAATACTTGACAGGCGCGTGGTTATAAACGAGTCATTACAAACATCTTATATTATTAATAATAAGTAAAAAAGGCATAACAAATATTATACTGTCACGCTACAGTATTTTAAATATATATCACTAATGAGACGTTACAAAAATTCTATCAAAATCAGCTAAAGTTAAATCAGGTGCAAAATTGCATAAAGTGTTTTATGCAATTCGATTTATGATCTAAATTGGAATAACGGGCGAACACAAGTACAGATTGCGTCAATATAAAAAATATATAATACTTTTTGCTTAAATAAACGAGTAATTTAAATAACATCTTTATAACGAACTTAAAAATCATTTCACTTTATAAATTCATAGACAAAACCTTGACACCTGCGTTGCATAAAAAGCGGTCAACTTCACAAGGCTGCAACCAAAAAAAAATTACTTGTCTATTCTCAACGTAGACGTGTTAGAGACGTATGCCAAGAGAGCGCTTGAATTGCATCAGACAGAGTCGCAGGTAACTGGCAAGCCCACTCACCCGAAATGTCAATATAGTGCGACTAATTTATCTGACCCGCTGAGGAAGGCACTGTTACCGCAGTTAATCCTGTCTAAAATATGTAAGCCCAACAGTTCCCCGCGACTTTGTTTGCGCGGTATTATTAAAATTTAATGAGAAGTGCCAATTTTCAATAAGATGTATAGAACCATTGCAGAGTTATCGAGTAAATATATTAGTCAAACGTATCCGACCTAGCCTTTATGTTTTCCAGACTGTGTTCCACTTCCATCAGACGTGTTCAAATTTCATCGAAATCCGTTTCGCCGTTTAGAAGATATTTCGTAACCATCATCCATCCAAACATTTGCATTTATATTGTTAGTAAGCTACAGTCTAACAAATGTTGTAATTTAGTTCCACTTATGTCCATCGGGTCAAATAAATTTTTCGGACTATACTCAATACAAACATTATCAAAGCGCTGACAGAAACTTGCTCGGTAGCGATTCTAGAAAAAAATATTAACACATCGAAAAATATTTTCGTACATTTTTAAGTTACTTATTTTTTTATTTGCTTGTCCACATAGCGAACTATGACTTATTGCGCATCGGAAACGGTATTGTTTTATTTATAAAAAAAAATTGTTATCCTCAATTGAAGTAGAGTTTAGTCAGCAAAATTATTAGAAGTAACAACGTTAAAAATTATTCAAATGTCGTTCCCATTTATTATTCCCCATTGAGTTTAATTATTAGATGCAAATGAATTTCCAAACTAATTCCGAAAAATGTGTTCTCTACAACGATAGAAATTTTTGTACGTGTAATTAGAATGTATGTAAACGATTCTTTGAACTTTAAAATGTAACTGAAAACTGATGTAATAGTTGACGTTAAGTCCGCGTTTTATTACTAAAGCTCCTTTCAATTTCTTTTTTATTTACTATTATGAAAGGTAAGCTAGTAAATGGAAAATAAATCTATAGGAAAACAACAATGTCTAACTTTTCCGTCTCACGAACAACTTTATAATTTTATAGAAAAAAATAGACTTTTAATATTGGAAACGTTTTAATCATACAACTTGTACGTCATAAAATTTCCATCAAACGAGTCAATTAAATCGTTTCATAAACGGACGCTACCGAGTCGTCCGCGGCCAATGGAACCCAAAGTTGAGGTCAAACACTTAGATGCCTCACTTTGGTAGACAACAGGTGGGAGATGGGCGACTTTTTACTAATAAAAAAAATAGTAGGCTTTCCAGTGAACGCGTGACGTACGCGTGACGTACGGCGGGCGCGTCGAGGCCCGGCCAATGGCGGCGTTTACCGCCCCATATATACTTGAACCGGCGACCGAACGACTCAAAGTTTAAACGCACGCTGTTCAGTTCGCACGAGTGTGTTCAAAGTGACCGTTCCCGCCGTCCATACTCCACTCGCCGTTTGCCGCTAGCCGCTCGCCGCCCGCAGTACGAACGCGCGAAAGTGTTTTGTGTACATCGTTCTCTACCGTATAAACTGTGAGTAGAATAATTTTCACTGTATCTTGGCGGTCGGCGACGTGTCCACCGCGGCCGTAACCCGACGCCCGCCGCGCCGCGCGCCTGTCACCGCCGGCTCCTCTTCCACATCTGATTACGTCGCGGTCGCGCTGGACACGCGTGTGACATACGGTTTTTTTTTTAATTTAATTCCGGCCTTGATTTTTTATAATCGACCAGTGACATAATACAGTTGCATTCGCAACCGGCCAGTACATACTTAATTTTTTTGGTAAAGTTATGTTGCATAAGCGCTTTATTTGCTTGTAATTCTTTCTTTATATTGGAACGGATTATCAGGAGATCGGATGTTATCTGACCGCGATCTCTTTTATCTCTTACGCGAATCGGACGATAGGTGATAGACGATAGGCGGGATAAAGTTATCGCTGTGATATTTCATATCCTGAGAAAGGTAAATTTTTTATTATAATCTGTCACACTTCATAGTTATCTTGGATTTATCTAAAAATTAGCATCGGATTTAGAATAGATATCGAAGTGTTACTTATATATTTGATAAATATTGACATTTTCATCTGAATTTAAATCTAATAAAAGTAGCAGTGTATGATCAAATATTTAATTCGATCAATATAATCTATGAATAACAATTTTACATCATCTATCAAACAATGTTGAACAAAACTTTATAACCTGTGATGAATTCTATTCGTTTTGAAAGGAGATAATAAGGGAAACTCAATATTCTCTATATATTTGGCACATTATAAATTAGAAAACTTCATTACATGCCAACTCTTTTCCCAATATACATGGTGTTCTTTTTATTTTATATCTGCCCATAATGTAGAATAAATATAATCTATACTAAAATTATAAAGCTGAAGAGTTTGTTTGTTTAAACGCGCTAATCTCAGGAACTAGTGGTCCGATTTGAAATTTTTTTTTGTTGGATAGTCCATTTACAGAGGAAGGCTTTAGGCATTACGCTGCGACCAATAGTTTTTTTTTTAATTCGCGGACGGAGTCGCGAGCGACAGATACTTTGTGTAGTATATATACATTTACTTTTTATCTGTTATGTCTCAGTAATCCAACATAAACTCATACGTGTGATGCGTAAAAGAATTTTGATAACGTGTTACTTTAATCTTTATATATTCAAATATTTCCTTTCCCTTACAATGTAACTACTTTTTACATGTTCTAGAACTTTGAGATTAAAAAAAAAAAGTTTTCGAGTAACTGTATATAAGTAATATATTGTTAGCGTTATTTTTTTGAAAGATAATTAAATATAAACATGTATTAATCAATGATATATAACCTTCTTGCTGTAGTCTGTAACTCCGTACACGCGGCATTAAAAGAAAGGTAATTAGTAACCTAAGTGTTATTAATATTTATGTTCTACATCTATGCCAAAATACATCGAGATCCATCAAGCCGTTGTAGAGATACCTTTTAACAAATATTCGTCCATCGAAATCACCATCGCATTTATAATATTAGTAAGATAGAGTACTTTATATAAGTTTGACGTCCAATCTAGAATCGATTTTCGAAATGTCTTTGTGTATTGTAATTATAATAGAAACATCGAGACAATTTACCCTAAAACAAGGCCTCCGGAGTCATAGCATAATAGGTTGGTTAATTATTACGTTTTTTAGGTCATGCACTTGATCCATGACAACATGTTCGTTATATTTGTTAAACAATTATTAGCTTTGAGTCATGGAATATATGGTGATGTGGGACGGACATAAGTCAGCTTGCTTTTTGCATTAGCATATACCAATAGGGATGTCTACTTTGGAAGACTTAAGTTAAATAATGCACAATACTTTATTTAACTTATTATGTATGTAAAGTTACTATGTATGTATTTTGAGTCTGTTTTTGACTTTATTTACAAGACTATTAATATTATAAGTTATGCTTAAGTAATATAGTTCTTCCTTTTTTGTAAGTAATGAAATATTGATGAGACAAAATCTTTTTAATAAATTAATAAACCAAAAAAAATGTTTGATACGAAATATTTCTACAATGCAAACTCAGGTTATATTAAAATTTAAAAAATATATTTACAAAAACTATGTTAGTAAAATTAAATAATATTCTTTTTCAATTTAAAAGTAAAAGTACCGATCTTACTAATATTATAAATGCGAATATTTTGGATGGATGGAACGATGTTTGTTAGAAAATATCTCCATAACGGCTGCATAGATCTAGACGAAATTTGGTATACATGTAGAAAACTGGATATTAATTATTTTTATCAGTACCGCGCGGACGTAGTCGCGGGTATCAGCTAGTTATATAAATATTTATTAACATACGTGTGTAGGTACTATCAGTCACAATGTCGTCGTGTAAAAGACATCAACGCTATATTATCACTGATTTTAACTTTTACCTTATAAATAAAAAAAAATATTTTATATTTTGCATAATTGAAATTCTTTACATAATATTACCAATTAAATTAACGGTAGAGCAATAATTTTAGTAAATAATTTTGATTTATATTTAAAATTTAAGTTTAAGTAAAAAAATTCATGATATTTAATTTTTTAGTTTAATTAAGTAATTCCATTCAATTTTAGACTTTATTACAATAAGAATAATGATGAAAATTGCATAACTTTATCGCATTCTATTAATCTTATTTTAATCGCTAGCTAAGTTGAAAGTTTTCGCCTTGACATATAATTATAATAGGAAGTTACTTATTTCATATCAATTTTGCTAAACATAAATAGGCTTAATTGTTACTCATAAAAGTTTTAAATAACTAAACTAACTAACCGTGGGTTTCTGAGACCGAATTCCGTTTTGTTATATCTGTTTTCTCAAAGATAATGACAGAGAAGATATGTTTTATACAGAGATTTTAATCAGGAACTCACGGACTGCTTAAAGTTAGGAACTGAAGCTAAGTTCATATTAATAACTAATTTCACTATACTTTATCACCATAATGTAATATATCTTATATATAAAATTCTCGTGTCACAATTTTCGTTCTCATACTCCTCCGAAACGGCTTGACCGATTCTCATGAAATTTGGTGAGCATATAGGTCTGAGTATCGGCCAACATCTAATCCCGCGCGGACGGAGTCGCGGGCGACAGCTAGTATACATATATAATAATCTATATATATAAAAGAAAGTCGTGTTAGTTACACTATTTATAACTCAAGAACGGCTTCACCGATATGGCTGAAAATTGTTGAGGAGGTAGCTTAGAGCCAGGAGACGGACATAGGATACTATTTATTCATTTTTTTTCGAATTTATGCCTTGAAGAGCTGCTTTTTATTTGACTTACTAATATTATAAATGCGAATGTTTAGATGGATATGATGTGGATGGATGGATGGGTGGGCTACACTAATTAAGTTTTTTTTATATGTCCACGCGGACGGAGTCGCGGGCGACAGCTAGTATATAATATAATTTGATCCAAAATTAACATTGAACACCAAACAAAATAATTAACATAAAACCAGAAATTTTAAACACAGGTGTTTATTTAGCATATAATGTGCATTTGTCAAGATAAAGAATGAACAAATTATATTTTATGTGCTCAAATTAATTAATAAAAGGTAACATAATTCAGACGTAATTTGAATATGAACGAACACCTGTTTGAAATCTGATACTATCAGATGCTCTTTAAAATTAATTACCCTATTAATAATCAATATCTAATCTTTTATTAATAATTTATAAATTAAGATTTATTTTTGATGATAATTATAAAGATTTATAGCAATTTAAATTAATTATCATTATTTAATTTCCGCTTTCTTTTCATTGATTAATAGTCATATTGTCATCTCTTTCTTACCTTTGAGAAGACAGTGACAAAATATTACTACGTTCAAATTCTGCGGTTACAAGATTTTTTTTTGTATTTTAGTATAACTAACACAATGTAACTTTAGTTATAGCTTTTACACGTAATATTTAAACTTAAATATCAGATAACTTTATTTTAAATTATTTATGCTATACTAGCTGTCGCCCGCAACTCCATCCGCGCTGTAATTGCCTATGTATTCTTCCAGACTATGTTCTACATCTGTGCCAAATTTCATCAAGATCAAAACTGTTTAAAAATATAATTAAGTTTATTATACATCCTTATTTCTATAATTATTATACATATAGTCTTAAATCTATGATATAAAAAAACGAACAATTCACTAAAATATGTTATTAAAAGGAGTCCCTTTAGGATATGTTTTGGAACTGAAATGTTTTTGAAACTGTTTTGGAGATGCCTACAAACATCCATCTAAACATTCTGTTTTATAATATTAGTAAAATAAGATATAAATTTCTAGACAATAATTATACGTTTCTAATTGTAACAAAAATCTTACAGGAACATAACTTTTATAACTATTTATCACGTCGCACCACATGTAAAAGCTTTTATTGTTATGTTTTTATTACACTTATCTTAGTGCATCAAAATTATAGTTTTCGACTAAAGTGAAAGTTAATAAAAGGTAGAAATTATACATCGACTAGTTTAACGAATGTACACAAGAGTCGCATCACACGTGAGGCATTTGTAAACCAACTCCGACTCGATATGAGTACGCGGAAGCGATGAGTTTGTCACTAGACAAGCATAGGGTGTGACTATTGTGATAAGCGGAGCGAATATATCACGATGTAGTTCTAATAATCTGACTTATATTACATTAATATTTAATACAAAATAACCGAAATAAAAAGTTGTCGCACGCCACGCGAAATTAAAAAAAAATAGTAGTTTATGTGTTCTTCCAGACTATATTCTATAACTGTGCCACATTTTATCGAG